TTGCTGTCTTTACAAAGCATCACGATCTCACTTGCTCTGAGTCCTAATGTAGTTTGAAGGCCTTTGTTGGACTCATTGTTGGACAGGGCATTATTCGGACAGAACCCGGCAAGCATGGAGTAACAGGTTGCCCAGAGGCTTTGGTGAAACTCATATGTAATAGAGAGTATGGGTGATAAACCCTATGGAGACACGGGATTCCGACACTTTATTGAAGTTCTGGCAATGAAGAGAAATTGAACTGGAAGACATCAGGCTGCATCTTGCTCCTCGTATCTCTGAGAAAGAGTTTGAAAAATTGGTTGGCTTAATTATTTTTTATTTTTTATTTATTTATTTTTTTTGGTACTGGGGTTTGAACTCAGGTTCTTGTGCTTGCGAGGCAGGCCACCAAATCACTGAGCTAAATCCCCAGCCCTGGTTGGCTTAATTTTTAAAGAAGGCTGTGGAGGAGCACACACAGCTATGTGATTGCCAAAACAAGGTAAGGGTTTTGGACTTAGGACTACAGCGTGAGGACCTGGGGAAGATTAATAAACTCTGCAAGGCTATGTCAAACTTTGTAAGAGAATCGCATTGTTGAGCTCTATAACTCTGGAAAAATGCCAGCAAACAGCTGTTCTCCTCTTGAGTAATAGTTACTGGGAACAGATCGAGACCAAGCTCCTGACCGTGAGACCCCAATGACCCTGCTGCTGGCGCTGCTCAGAGTAAATTGATGTCATGTGATCCACCAAGACATGCATTGGACTGTGCCCAGTAGCATCCATCATCGGTGGAAACGGAGTGTACAAGGCTGGACGTGAGGAGGTGCTGGACTCTCAGAGAAAATCCCAGAAAAAGATGGCTCACGCTCCCGTAGCCTCTCTTCACGGTCATGGCACTCATATATATTTTCTCTTTGTTTTTCTGAATTTCCACTTTCATGTTTTTCTAGAGTTCTTTACTTCCTGGTGTTGCACTGGGTCGCATCGCTGTGAGGGAAAAATCATCTGTGAAACACTGACCTTTTTAAATACATCGAAGATAGCTTTATGAACTAGCATTTCACTTCTCTGTGTTCTTCTGGGGATTATAATTTAGGCTGTATCCATTTTTATGTGCCGTTGGGAGTACAGTCACTTTTTACTTGTCCCAGCATTTCTTTTTTTTTTTCTTCTTCTACCCTGGGTAAACATCTGGGTTGCTACTCATTTTAAGTGCAGCAGTAATGCTTTTCGCATCACTGGAGAGATACTCTCCCACTGTCTTCCTGCTTACATCAGTGAAGTTGAGAAGTTGGCAGTCTAAGTAGTTTTCCTCTATAGATGATTTTTAAAAAAATCTTTTGACTTGAATTTAAGAACTTTTTTTGGGAATCATTCTATTTAATATAAAAGTATCTAGCCGAATATTGTTTTGTGTTTATCCAGCAACTGGATCATTAGACTTTATCTTTATTAATTTCTGGAAAATTATTGTTTGGCTCTTTCTAGTTTTATCCGTATTTCAAGTTTCTTTGTCACATATTGAACCTTGTCATTATATGCTTCAACTTGAAACTATTTTATATATTTTTTTGCACGTGTCAGTGCTGCATTTGTAGAATTTATATTTATCTTCTAATTCACTATATTCTGTATTTATCTCTGATATTGTGTTCATACCATCTACTGTTCTTCTTTTCAATGATTGTATTTTTAATGATTGTTTTATAAAATCCTGCCTACTTCCTTTTGCTTGTGTCATTTTTGTACTCATTAAAGTTTAATCTTAAATAATATTTATATGCAGCTTTATATATTTATAAATGTTTTTACAGTTATTTTATATTCTGTATCACATACAAGCAGTATAGAATCTGTGGATATCTATTTCTGCCTTTGCTTATTTGTGTTGGCTCTATCAGAAAAACTTCCTTCCTGAGTGACCGTTTTGCACTGTGATCTCTTATTTGAATGACCACAATCCAGGAGGAATCTTGAGGTGGGTCTTTGGAGGTGCCAGGAATCTTTTTCTTAGCAAATTCTTCCTTGGCTTTATGCAAAGATTAGTTCTAATTCTCTGACATATGAAGATCCCACATCTTTTATCGCCTTCCCAAGTTCATCTTTGAGGATTCAGGGATCTGGATTTGTTTTACCTGCAAATGTGGCTCCTGTCTTTACTCATCATTTCCTTGTATCTCATATTCCTCTTGTAATTTCTTTTTTTTTTTCAGCTTTAATTGAGTTTATTGGTACATTTTAGGGATACAGTACAGTTACATTCATTGTTGGGATCTTGTACCTCCACATGACAAGTCTTGATTCTCATTTTCTTGTAATTTCTTTAATACTGTATTCTTCAGGATTACCTTTTAGTAATAAACTTTTCCATCAACTGTAAATATTCCCATCTCCCTTTCAGCCTTTGAGAATTGCTTTATATTTGCAAGTTCAGTACTTAATTGTATATTTAAAAGTATTTTATAGTCTATTCCATTCAGTGAAATGGGTGTAGTTAGAGTGGCTCATTTTTTAAAGAAAGAAAATATAATCCACTATTTGTGCAAAAACTAGAATGAGTGTGTGTGCTTGTTGTAAACACATTTATATACCCTTCACGAGTTGTAAATTCTAAAGTCAGGGCTGTTCCCTACGGAGTACTAGACCTTTACCTGAGTTTTACCTATGTCCAATGTTAATAGAGAATACGTGTTCTTTTTCTGCAAAGAGGAAAACCATATGTGTAAGATACTTGTCCTTTCACATTTGAATATTTTGCCTTTTGAATGTCTCCCCTAGTGATCACTGGTAATATAATTCAATTACAAGTGTACAAGCACTGCTTTTTTTTTTTTTTTTTTTTTTTTTATTTTTTTTGGTGCCGGGGATTGAACTAGGGTCCTTGAGCTTGCAAGGCAGGCCACCGAACTGCTGAGCTAAATCGCTGGCCCTATGCACTTCTTTTATTTTTTTTCCTATCTAGGGTTTACACTTAAGCTCCATCACTGTGTGATCTTGGACATGAGCTTACTGTATCTGAATAATGGCTTTTACAGCAAAAGTAGAGGATACTATAAACAGATGTTTTAGACTGAATGAGATGTTGTTGATGAAACTCCTAGCATAATGTTAAAGCCCTGGGATGCAAGAAGACTTTTTCTTTTTTCCTCAATATACTGAATGAAAACCACCCTAGGTGCTATAAACACTCCTGTCTTCCTCGTTTCTTCTGTTAGCTCTAGAGAAAAAGTGACAAAGGTATTATTGGTTGAAATTAACTTCATCTTTTGAAAGCAAGAGATCCATTTGTATTATAAAATATGACTCTCCTGGGTTAGACTGATGTACTCAAGTGCAACCATTCCCTTTGATTTCTTGTCTAAATGATGAATGACACTTGAAACACTATCGGGTAAGGTTATTTTTATTAGGCAGTAACAGTTAATAATGCAGTTTACCATCTGAAACTATGTAATAAACAGCTAAGCCACAACACCAACAAAATATGTGATTTTTTTTTCAGACCGGAAAATATGAACACATTAAAATGTTATGAGGCGATATTTAGAAATAGGGTGTAGCAGTGACAGTTTCTATTTTCTCGTGTGTCCTTACACTCTTGCTTTCCTTCTCTTGTTCTCTTCTTCTTCTCCTTCCTTCTCCTTTATCTTTTTTCTTTTTCTTTATTCCTCTGTTTCTTTCTTCCTTTTTTAAAATGCAAAACTTGAATGAGACGATGTGATACAATAATATATTTACAGTTGGAAGATAGTGGACAGTGTTTTTACTGTAATACAAAGTTATAGTTTCAAAACCTAAAGTCTTAAAAATAAGAGTTAAAAATGGAAAAACACTGAATCAAGAGCTGTATGTCCTTTTAAAAATAGCATTTAAAATTTTTACATTTTCTATTACATATTCCTAGCAATTTGGAATTATAACCCTTTATTTCACTTAATTTTTAATTGAATTGAAATATTTTAGTAGCTACTACCTTGTTGGAAATGTATGAATAAATGTGGATGCAATGGTGGAAAACTCATAATCCTACTCTTTTCTGGGGCATGGGGCATGGATACAGAAAAATTTTAATAGTATTAAAATCATATACTTAAAAGAATAAAGAGAATTACTAAGGAGGATCTTTACTTTTTAATTAGATCATGTTTATTGCAACATTTTGCCATTTTGCCTTATTTGTAAAACGTATTTTAAAAATACATTTTCCGGTGTATATGTAAGATACATAACATGATGTAGGAGAGAGAGGCGGGGAGGAAGGAGAGAGAGGGGGGACGGGAGGGGAAGAGCATAAGATACCTGAGTTCTAGTTTGTAGCATCAACTTAGTGTGCGTTTTCACGTATCTCGTTTCTTGGGTCCTGTTTATGTGATTTATAATATAATAATACTTGATGTCTCTTTAGTTTCTAAATATCTATGATTCTCACAGTGTCTGAAAAAGTAGTGTGAGGTTTCCATTGAATTAAGCAGCACGAATATTGCATTTCCACTGTGCCGCTCTAACAACTGGACCTGCAATATTTGAGTATGTTTTAGGAACAACAACATTCTAAACTACATGAATGGGATTAAATGAGTATAGGAATTAAGGGAGAACATTTCTATGTAATTTACAATTTATTGCATACCTCCTCTCTGTTTGCCCTTTGTTTTTTGATTTTTTTCTTTCAAGAGATAGCGTGATCATAAAAGCTTATGTTGTTTAAACATGGTATACGTAGGGCAATAAACACCCAAGTTTAGCTAGCTACAGAAATAGTGTAATCACTCCAGTTAAATATTTTCTAAAGGCACTCCTCTGAAAGAGTAAATTAACTGCTCAAAGAGTCATTTGTGTTAAGAGCTACAGCTAGTTACCGGTAGCATCCAGTCCTAAGAAGCAGATCTGGCAAACGAGAGAAAATAAAAAGATGCTTCCATATATACGAACTCACTTATTTTAACTGCCTGATCTTTAATACACAATACCAAGTAAGGTTTCTCTCCCTGGCTGAAACTACTAGTATTCTCAATGGCTGAAGCTATTTGTTTCCTTTGGATTTCTTCTGTTTTCATATCCCTTCTGGGTCAGCAAGGATCAGAAGCTTTTCAGTGTGGCAATGGGGTCTCCTTGCCTCCTGACAATGTATGTGACTTCACAGATCAGTGTGGGGACAGCAGTGATGAGCAGCAATGTAAGTTTCCTTCACCTTCTCTGATTTCCAGTCCCCGTATATCCACAAAGCAGGGGTGTATGAAGATTCGGCTGGATTCCTAGCCGTGCCTGTATTTTACTTTATATGCCTTTAGTGTAAAGCAGAAACTAAGTATATTGTTTAATAAAGGTGGCTCCATGCACAGAAATTACTTTAATTATTAACAAATAGCTAAAATTTTGATAGGATAGAATATATTTTAAGTCACTTTTTCCAGATTATAAAGGAAGAGTGAGAAGCAGAAATGTAGCTCTTAATGTTATGTTAATGGAGGAAAATTGAAAAGAAATTCATTAATGAAATTGTAAAATGCTGTGGTGGAAATTATGAACTGGGTTCTGATTTTAATATGGAAATACTTGAAATGAATTTTAACTGAAGTGTGTGGATCTTATTTTCATTTATAAGATGCTACTTCCAAGTGAGTTGGTACGGACTTTGTAAGTAACACACTCTGTGCCGTGGTTTTTTATTTCAACACAGTGGAAAGAGCACAAACTTCAGGGAGTACAGGACCTACTTTTTCTCTCTCTCTTTTTTTTTTTTTTGTTACCGGGAATCGAACTCAGGCCCTTTATGGGACCTACTTTTGAATCCTGGGTGAATTATTCAGTAGCTGTGTTATCTTGAACCTCCATTTTATTGTAAAAAAATCATTAAGTAAAACCAACTCTCGTGGGTCAGAAAATGTCCAACCTGGAATAGCAACTTGTTGCCTGACGTATCATTAACAGGAAACAATTTAACAAAAAAAGATGGGCAGAGTAGGTAGTAGGTTTTTGCAGTTTTCATCGCCCTATGAAATCTGGAAGGAAGACTACATTTCAGCAATGGAGGTTTTGTGTCATTCTTGCATGCAATTACTTCTGATAAACAGTTCCCTAAAACTACTATGGCTTTGTTGTTGGCTCATAGCGCTAGTGATTCAGTTATCTGCAGGCTAGTTCTGTTTTTTCTATTCTATAGTTCTATTATTATAATATGTCACTTTACTCAAACCCGTATTTTCTAAGTTATTTTCAAATAAAATATCAATAGGTATTTACAGAATTCTTCATTTTCTGCTGCAAAAAAGACTGCATTTTTTATATTTTCACACATGTAATCATCATGATTTGTCTTGCTTTTCAAAACAATAAAATTTGCTGAAAATTTCTTCTGTGTAGAAGGAAGTACACTGTTGATTTTCCTGCCATAGCTCAGGATGGCCATTATGCTGTTCACACTTGGTGACTATTAAATACGCAGCACAGCCAAGGACAAGGCTTCATTTGTATTTGTCCAATTTTCCCAGAGAGACTAAGCTCGTGTATGTCGCCCCTTGCTCCAGCCCTTACTGTTCCTTGGTGAGCAGCGAAGAGAAGCCACTCAGTTGGTTTGACAAGAGGGGCAAAGTCCCTTCCATTATTAGTCTCAGGAAGCTTCCTTTAGAGCGCTGACCCTGATAACGCACACACCGTCTTGCTTCAGGGAAAAGGTTAATATGGAGAAGGTGAGAGCTGGTGAGTGCGAAAGGTCTCTGCCCATGAACAATTCTAAGAATTCAGCCTCAGAGGAAGGTGCAGGCACAGATCTGTCAAATAAACACATTGCCTTTTAAATGTTACACTTGGAGGTCACCTTTCGGCTTTCTGGCTCTTCATTTTCATTTCTGAGAAGTTTTCACTTTGGTATTTTATTTAACATGTGGGCCAGAGCCTGTGGGTAAAGCGAAGAATCTCTTCTGTATGCCACACCGGGAAGAACGCTGTGAGGGCAGGAGGATGGACGCACAGTTCCTCCCCGGAGAACTTGTGATGCTAACTTACAGAGTAGATTTTTTTTTTAAAGTCTAACTTTATAATGATGCTAAAATAGCCACACTTTGAGAAAAAATTAATAGGTGCCCGCTTTAACATCCAAATAGTGTGACCTTTAAAAAATAGATTAAAAAAAACAGATTAAAATGTAAGACTTAATTCTTGATGAAATTGGTTTACTGAAGTTGAATTTTTGATGCAACTATTGTTGTCAATAGATTATGGAAAATGTTGTTATTTTTAAGTGATGGGGATGTTTTAAAGAATTCATTAACCTGTTATTTTTAACTCACCCCCCCCAAGATATTAAATAGAGAAACTGAATCTTTTGGTGGAATAAATTCTGTTTACATGTAAGCAGTATATATTGGGCACTTTATGTGTGGTGAGCAGGAAAAATAACTTGTAGGTAGAACAATTGTTTGGTTTTAGGGCTGATGAGGATTCTTCTTTATTAGATTTCATTGGCATCTTTTACCAGGAAAAACATACTGTGGTACTGTCTGTGTATTGTTTTTATTTGTTTGGTACTGGGAATCGAACTCTGGTGAGTACTTGTGCTTGTGAGCCAGTCAGCGGAACTACTGAGCTAAATACCCAGCCCTGTTTATTGTTTTTAAATCATATTAAAAAGTTGCATTGTTTGCTTCCATGCCGATCGATGTTGACTGGTTTTCCTAATGATCTTATTTTAATAATTTTTAATTGAATTTATAATTGATAAATTATAATTGTTACATTTGGGGGTATTCAGTGATATATACATAAAATCTGAAACGATTAAATCAAGAAAGTTAACACATCTGTTACCTCTTTTCTGTGATAAGACATTTGAAATTCTTTGTTGTTTGGAAATAAACATCGACAGTGATTACCCTACTTTGCAGTGGATCTCAAAAGTTATTCCTTCTGTCTTTCAGAAACTCTGTACCATTTGTCTAATAACTTCTCATCCTATCCCAGCCTCTGATAAGCATCATTTTACCCTTCTGTCAGTTCAGGTGTTTTAGATTCCACATATGAGTTACGTCATGAGGTATTTATCTGTCTCTGACATATTAGCATAATATAGTCAGTTTTTATCTGTGTTGTTGGAAAAGACAGAATTTTGTTCTGTTTAAAGGCAGAATAGAATTCCATGTGTGAATGTGTATATTGCATTTAAAAAATCCATTCTTTCATTGATGAACAATGTACAAGTGCTCCATTTTCTTGCCAGTGCGTATCTTTTACTTTTTTTATAGCAGCCATTCTAAAAGGTATGAGATGATGATCGCATTGTAGCCTTATTTTACATTTCCCTACTGATTAGTGATGAACATTTTCATGTACCTGTTAGCCATTTGTTTGTTTTCTTTTGAGTAATGTCTATTCTGGCCCACTACCCATCTTAAAATTCTATAATTTAGAGGTATTTTAACTATTGAGTTGGTTGACTTTCTGATTTTTTTGGGTACCAATTCCATTTCTGATGTATAGGTTGCAAATGTTTTTCCCCATTCTATGAATTGTCTTCTTTTTGAATTGTTTCCTTTACTGTACAAAAGCTTTTCAGTTTGGTGCAACCGTATTTGTGTTTTTGCTTTTGTTTCCCTAACTCTTGGAGTCATAGCCAAAAAGTGAAACTACTTCCTTCCATTGCTAACTTTGTGCTCATTTTGTTCTTCTTTTTATAGTATTTTAGAAAATTTGAAATCTTTTGTGAGATAGATGTTCATCATTGTGAATTTCTCTCAGGATTGCTTTTATACATTCCATAAGTTTTGGTATATTATGCTTTAATTTTTCATTTGTCTCAAGGTATTTTTTTTAAATTTCCTTTTTGATTTCTTCTGTGATCTACTGGTAAACGTAATTTGTATCTCTGAATTCTCCAACATCTATCTCATTATTTATTTCTGGTTGAATGCTTTTAATGAGCCAAAAAAAAATTTTGACATGTTTTTAATCCTCTTACATCTGGTAAGATTTATTTTGTGGCCTAACGTGGTCTGTCCTGAAGTATGTTCTGGGTGCATGTGAGATCTCTTATAATCTTTGGGTCTTTGCTTTGGGTCCTGTGCATTTGAAGAAACAGCCATATCTTCTGGCCTTTGCAAGTGTTCTGGTGCCAGCCCTGAGATTCTGGTAGTGATCCCGGATAGCCTGATGTTGGTGTTGGCTCCGTCAGTGGGGCCGATCGGTAGCCTGTGGTCTGCAGCTCAGTGGCACTGCCGTCTCTACTCTGCAGTCCCTTGAAACCACTGGCTGGACTCTGTCAGGTGAGTCCCTGACTGCTCTGCTATCACCTTCGATAGAACGAGGTGTCAGGCTGTCTTTCCTGGCTAGGTGTGACTGTCCTTTGTAATGTGTAGTTGGACAGAGCCAAGGGCTGGGCTGTGAGTCTGAGATCTCTGGGATTACTGTGTGGGCCCCTGGTATAGGCAAGGCCAGAGGTTACGCTGTACAAATAGGTATAGATTTGAATTTGCCTCCAGGCTTAGGCTGCCTCAGGCAGAACTCCGAGGCTTGGGAGAGTTGCTCATTGGCTGTTTGGTTAGATGTAGCAAGATTCTCCTTTCCTCAGATACTTGAGGCATTTGTCTCTTGTTCTTTGGACAAGGTCTCCTAGAGAGAGGTCCAGGTTTGGGTGGGAAAACTCACAAAGTGCTGAAGTCTGGCCAACATAAAGACTGCTTCCTGCAGAGCAGCGCTGTTGGCTAAATTCTCTATAATGTGGCTGTCTGTGGGCGTGCCTGCAGTGCCTGGATCTGAACTGGCCTCTCTGAGCCCCACCCCTCGTTCTTTGTTTCTGATTGATCCCAGTTGATTTAGTACTGGTGATAGCTCCAGCATTTTCCGAGGGGCAGGATGGGATGGTCTTTCAGTGAAGTGTCACAGAATGGTGAGGAAGTCTTCTACTGGTAGAAACCGTGAGCCCCAGGTGAATCCTTTGTGTGTGGCATTCTGCTGATGTGAGTGCAGTAGAGGTGTTGCAGTCACAGAGAGACTTTCTCATACCCTTCAAATGTGGCTTTTTGCAGTTCTGCTGGGGAAGAATGTGTTTCAGCGTCACTCCCGAGTACCGAGCTATAAAGGTGTTCTTTGTGGACAGTTAGTTGGGCTTGTATGAAGGGAAATGAAAATGAGCATCTTCCATTCTACCACCTAGCTACCGTTGCTCCTGTACCTTCTTTTCGT